GATGTAAAATTAAGGATGGTGGGTGTGGTGGAAGGATTTACCAAGAATGCAGAAACACGTTGGAATAAATGCACAGAAAGTCTGCTTGTATGGTCGTCAAATGATTTAATTTGAGCAACAACAGAGCAGAAGTCGATCAGAGAAGTCAGTCAAGTTGTGGCTGGCTGGTCACCACAGAGCAGCCGATAATATAACATCCTGTGACATGCTTACAACCAACCAATCACAGTTCACCAACTGTGAACCATCTAACCAATGACAGGGCTGTCAGCCCGGAAACACCTTATCAAAATAAAAGAGGTCATGCATTGCTGGAGTCTTTATGTCTGGGCCGATAAGATTAAAACAGCTGAAACTAGTTATCATGAGATATGATTACTGGACAGTGTCAAGGTAGAACAGATATACATAATTATTCCATAACAGTGGGTATGAAATAGATTTAAAGTTAAAGATAATGCGTACAAAATAAATGTAAAGGTAAAAATGATGAGTACAAATAAAGATGTAAAGTTAAAGATGATGGTTTCAAATAAAGATGTAAAGTTAATGATGATGAGTACAAAATAAAGATGTGAAGTTAAAGATGATGAGTACAAAATAAAGATGTAAAGTTAAAGATGATGAGTACAAAATAAAGATGTAAAGTTAAAGATGATGAGTACAAAATAAATGTAAAGGTAAAGATGATACTTTCAAATAAAGATGTACAGTTAAAGATGAGTACAAATAAAGATGTACAGTTAAGGATGGTGGGTATTTAATAGATGCAAAGATAAAGATAATGAGAACAAAACAGATGTAGAGTTAAAGATGATGGGTGTTTCCTGATGGCAGCTAATTAATAGATTTTTCTTTTATATTCTTTCTAAACCCACCAGCAGTTTGTTTGATTTTTTTTACAATAAGTTAATTTAATATCAGATTTAAAGGTCTGTGTGACTCCTATAAACTTCACAAACCACATAACTGTCATTAGCATTAATACATCAGTAAAAGCAGATGTTATTTACATTACGAACACTTGAAACGAGGAATCTGCGTGTGTTAACAGGAAGTACTGATGTGTTTTCAGTACAGCAGCAGCTGACAGCACATGTATAATTGATGCTGGAGTTTATTCAGCCCACAGTAAATTATTAATGTTTAAGCCAGTTTCTCTCTGTGCTGCAACAGTTGAAGGCAGGACACTGACTGAAAACTTTAAGAAAATTAAAATGGTGCAGTCCTGTCCTTTTAAATTCTGAGTGACCTTTGAGCCCTGAGGTCATGATTTGAGCAGCCACGTTTTTGAATATTACTGTGCACGACTTGCAAAACCATAGTTTAGGTCGTACAGCCTCAAATGTATTGTCATAAGGAGATACAGCAGATTCACACAACTGATCTTTGATGCTGTTAATAAATGTTAACTTTTAGAACATACCTACATCAGTCCCTTGTTTTAATCATGGGTTGACAGAGTTCAGTTCTTGTCCTTTTTTAATGGTATTTCCTATTATTTTGGTGCTAATTGTGTAATGCAATTTTCAAATATTGAGTTAAAATTTAGTTCTCTAGTCTTTGAGGCTGATCCACAACACTTATCCTAAGCGCTAACAGATTGCACAAAATGTCTAACTAAAAATGTTCATTAATTATTAAAATTAACATTGACTGATGGCAAATATCACATTTCCTGGATGAATTGTATTAAAACTTGGAGGAAAAATTGGATTTCTAATAAAATAAACTGGCAGCTCAGCTAGTTTCACAGATATTAAACTAACATTTCAATAACATTCTCTGAGTTTGAGATTTTACATAACTTTATTCGTAATGTTTGACCAAAACAGCTCATCAGTCAATGATTTTAATCAAAAATTCTGTCAGGCTGTAAGTATTGTTTCAAAGAATACTACTGTACTCTGACTTTACTAAACTGTATTTACCATCAGATTTTATTTTATGTGTGGCTGTAACTCAGTATTTATCACATTTAAAAGTTTTTAGGAAAACTGCCTGATTGTACAGTATATTCCAGTGCCTGAGGGATTTGTTTAAATAATCATCTTTTCTTATTTTACCTGCTTGTCAGACTTCTAAGATGTGACTCGGCTAAGTCATCAGAAACTTCAAGCATTCAACAGCAGCAGAGGAAGTCTTTGAAATGTAAATGTGAGACTCAGACATGTTCTTTGTGCTCCTGTGTGGATGAGGTAAACTTGTGTTTGATGAGTTAAAGCTGCAGAGCTGTGATAGTGTCACCTCTCAGACAGCGGGCTGTTTACAGCGCTGCCCTTAATTCACTGCCTGTCTCTGCGCTCGTCAGACTGAGAGGCGTTTGGATTGCGGTCAGGTCCGGGCTGTCCGTCTTCCTCCCGCCGCTCGGAATCCTGGTGAAGCGCTCGGTGCTGTTCAAGCCCAACCCGCCGGCCTCTGACTGAAGTTAAATCAATCAGCCCTTCAGCCTCTTTTCTAAAGAACTATTATCCAGGCCCGGCGAGCCCGTCGACCTGCCTGCTGTAGATCCATGACCCGATGCTCCAATTCACAAACCGAACCTACAGAGCACAAGTCTGACAAGAAACCAGACAACCAGAGGCCAGGAGGGGTCGAGACTTCACCTGAAGCCTGCAGCAAAACTGGAGTTCATATTAATGAAGACAGATGTACAAAGTCCAACAGAACCATTTTAAAGGGATCCACGATTAGTTGTAACATTAGACTTTATTTGATAATAATATAATTGGGGTCCCTCTCGGGGTCTTTGGCACTGATCTCCCTTATGTCGGCTTCTGGCTTTGCGGGTCGCGTCTGTGGTCCCCCCACAGTCACTTTGAAACATTCCATGGGAGAGATCCATGCATGCTCACAACTGCACACAAACAGGTGTTTACATCCTGGGTCTTCTATTCGGGCACTGATGGAAGGACATGTGCATATGTGTATGTGTATGTATGTGTGCATGTATGTATATGGGCATGTATATGTATGGGTATGTATGTGTGTATGTATGTATATGTATGTATGTATGTATATGTAGGTATGAATGTATATGTATGTAGGTGTATGTGTATGTATATGTATGCGTATGTGTGTGTATGTATGTGTGTATATATATATATGTGTACATGTATGTGTATATATGTTTGTATATATGTATGTATGTATGTGTATATATGTTTGTATGTATGTATGTATGTATGTATGTATGTATGTATGTGTATATACTGTATGTATGTATGTATGTATGTGTATATATTGTATGTGTATATATGTATATGTATGTGTATGTATGTAT